AGGGGGTACAGGGGGGAGACAGGGGTGAGACGGGTGAGACAGGGGGTACAGAGGGGAGACGGGTGAGACAGGGGGTACAGAGGGGAGACGGGTGAGACAGGGGGTACAGAGGGGAGACGAGTGAGACAGGGGGTACAGATGTGAGGCAGGGAGCCAGGTGGTACAGGTGTGAGACAGGGGGTACAGATGTGAGGCTGGTGTGAGACGGGCGACTCACAGGTGACCCACGGGTGATCCGTGGGTGAGCCGTGGGGAGGGATGGCCTGGAGCCTGCCTATCCCGCCTTCCAGACACAGCCTGGGGCTGCAAAAGGCCGGGCTGCACGACTGCAAGCACCAGGCTCTGCGGGATCTTTAGGGAGAGGTTATGTCCGAGTATATTTAGTGTTTGTCTGTGAAACTTCCAACGTTTCAGTAGCTGCATAGTATGAAGAATTATGAATTCTGATGTCCTGCTGAAGAAATTCACTGTAGCAAAGTAGAGAAGTGTTAATTTTAATTGTGGTTTGTCCAGTAAATAAACCCTTTAAGCTGGTTCTCTCTGCAGAGATCTTAGTTAACATCTGGTCACTCAGTATGAGAAATTGCAAATAACTCACATGCTGTGAATGTATTTGGTATTGCCTTTTCTTTGGTGATGTGTGTGTTAGGGGGGTGGGTGTTCCCAGCAGAGGAACAAGGAGGAGTGAGTTTAGGAGGTTCAATTTTCATCTTTATCTTAACATCTGCTTTGGTACCATCTGCACTTTAGGGAGCATATGCAGCACTGTCCTTGCTCCCTGTGCCTTGTGGTGGTGTTCTGTGTACTTGAGGGGATTCTGTTATTATTAATGATTGGAAGCATGAGTATGTGCCTTTTCATGGGGGGGTGGTATTATTTATACGGTGATTTATGATGTCGCCAGACATCCATTCTGAAGTTTCATTTAAAAATTTGTTTGTGGGCAGAACTTGGGTCATAGACAAAACCTTAGCAGTGACCCATCGAAGATGGCGGTGAGGGGGAATGTTATTACTTCTATGATTCTGTTTTCTCTTTGAATTTCTTTTTTTTTTAATTTGACACGGGTATTTTAGAAACAAGCTGAATGCCTTTTAGTGAAAAGAACTCTTACAGAGGTGAACTGAAGACTTGGGGCTTGGTTTAAACCTCGGTCTGCACTGTCCAGCCTTCTCCTTCGGGCTGGTGGGTTTCTGTATTGCTGTCTGCAAAGGAAACAGAGGAGGAAAGGTATCTCAGTGTGCCTGTATATCTATGGATATCTGTAGAGCTGTGCAGGTTGTTTATGGATAACTGACTGATATGGCACAAGCTTATGCCCTGGTCAGTTTTGGCTTACTGAGAGTTCAGTTTGATGAAGTTTTAGAAGCTTATCCTGATGTATTTGTGGGGTAAATAGATTGAGACAGGTACCAAACCCCTTCTGGTTCACTTAACAGACACTTGGCTTTGGCATGTGTTATATTAACACTTGCATTGATTGTGCCATTGTTATTCTAGAGATTTGAAAATGCAAGGTTTTCTTTTTCACGGGGCAAACCACATAGAACATACTTGTTCACAACTTTAGTCAGTTCTGAAGACATGGAACGGAATTGCTTGATTTTAATGACCCCGGAGTCAATTTAAAACTGTGATTATCCTGTGCTTCAGACAGATTCTGTTGTTAAAGCACTTTTAAGGAGTATCCCTTGGTAATTCCAAGCTTTCCCTGCAGTTGGGTGGCCATGTTGGGGCCGTGGTGACAGTCAGGGCCAGGCCTTGCCCTGACAGCAGGGATAGCACAAGCTCACCCTGCAGTGCAGTGCAGAGGAGCAGCACAAATCTGGGCTTCTTGCAGTCAGATGGTTTTGAAATACAGTCCATTAGTTTATTGTCCATATGGAACCGGCACTCTGGAAATGTAGAAGCAAAGAAACGAGTGGCAGCTGAGAAATTCCACTGACCCAGTTAAGTGTAATTACAAGGTTAGAACTGGGGCCAGAAGGGTTGTGCTCTGCCTGTAACGTCTCAGTGCTCAGCCGTGTCTGAACGGCATTACCTCATCTCACATCCATCCGGGAGCAGAGCTCCAAATCCCACAAGAACAGAGCCAAGTTATCCAAGGTCGTTGTACGAACAGAATGTGGAGAATTCTCTTCCCGATCTCAGTTACCAGGCCATGCTGACTAGCCTGGGATGCAGCCTCACATCTGTGAGGGTCACTTTGGTTTGGGTGAAATCCGTTTGTCAGATGGTTCCTTGGCGCTGCCTTTCCCACGTGTTCCATGTGTCAGGTGGGAGGGAGGGACAGGAGTGTCAGCAAGAAGGGAAGTATAAATATGCTGCAGTGCCTTGTAGAATACCAGCTTTCTGTGAGCACATGGCATCAGTTGGAACAAATGACATGCTGCTCCAGTGATGTCATCCACAGAGTCTCAACTGCTGGTAATGCTTCTAGCCCGAATAAATGCCTTTTCTCTTGAGTTCTTCTCAGGAAAGGAATCAGCTTTTATATTGCATGCAGCAGACTCAATCTCTGTTTATTCGGTCATTTTGAAATTTTTGTGATAAAAAAACAGGTAGAAAAAACCCCCCAAGACATTGTATAGAAGTATTTGAAGGTTTGGATTTTTCTTGGAGTGAGCCCCAGCAGTGTTTTTTTTTTTTCATGTGCATGTTTTTATAATGCTGTAAATAGTGACAGGGATAATGGGCTAAGTTACACAGTCGAAAAATTCAAACTGGGACTGTTGTTTGGGTTTTTTAAAATCCATATTAATTTTTGTATATATAGACGTAAATATTAAGGCCATGAAATGAGGCAGAGAAATAATGTATTGAGTAAAATAAAATGAATGTACAAACACAGATTTTTAGTATAGGTAACAGGTGACAACGTGAGTAGAAAAATAAACCATGGAGTTTTAGAGTGCTAGCTAAAACATTTGCTTGATCTTTCTTTGATATTTTTTAGATCTTGAAATAATGCTCGTTGCCATTAACAAAATGTCATAGTTGTGAGATCAGGGTTTGGAAGAATCTTTGTTTCATTTCAGACTTTTCTGAAAATGGTATTACATTCTGTTGTTTATTTTGTTTCCCCAGTCTCTGGCACAAGGGCTGTGTCATTTGAAGTGAGTTTGTCCAGCAAAGGCTTTGATTGTCATGGTGTGGATTAACAGTGGCAATTTCTTGCTCTGTGCAGTGGAGAAGTGTTGCTGAATTTCACTGATTATTTAGATGGAAATTAAAAAATAAGATTTCCTATGAAGAGTGCTGATAACACTCCAAGCTACCACAACTCTTTGGTTATTTAATATTAATAAGTAGAGTTGGATGAGTTTTTTCTCAAATTGCACCTTGTAATTTTTAAGGGCTCAGTCAATGATCTTATTGATTTTTTTTAAAAAATTTTTTTTAATATAACACTCTGGTAGATTTTTCTAAAACTTGCTGTTATTTTATAAATGTAACTACTTGTTGAAATATGAAAGCATTGTGAAAAGTTTTAACTACACTTCTCATGTCACTTATATATCTACTGAACATTCTCAGTAGCTTCTTCTTTCCTTGAGTGAGCTTAAATTACATTTTCATTATTTTTATCAAAATAGAATGAAGAAATAAAGTCATTAGTTTCTTTGTGTTTATCTTGAAGGTAATAAATAATAATAATAATAATAATAATAATATTAAAAATACATAAGCAATACAAAAACTGCTTTTAATTCTGCAGGTGTTGTGAAGTGTATTTCTGAAATTGCTCTAGTAGATGTTGCTTTTTGGATTACTTTCTATAGGTATGGATTATGTGAAATTTGTCTCAAACTTTCTGTTTGCCGAGTGCAGAAGAGCCTCCCAGTTCTCAGCTTTTCCGCAGTTAGAGCAGTAGAGTGCTGGAGGGAGCCAGGCCTGACTGATCAGCCCCTCCCATGGTGCCGTTAGATCCCAGCACAGCCCGGCTCCTGGTACAGGAGGGAAACCCGTTTGCTGGAAGGCACAATACGGGAGAACTGTTGCGTTCTTAGCAGAAAACAGTCTCCCCGTGTGCTCTAAAGAATGAAGAGCGAGAGCATTATCTCTGCAAATCAGTCTAAGGGACAGTGGAACTGAATCCCTGCCGGCAGATCCTGCTTTCCGCAGGGGGTGCTCCTGCAGGACCTGGTTTCCCGGGGCACTGGTGGCACTCGCTCACCGTGGTGTCCCAGGCACTGGGAATTGCTGCTGGCAGGGCTGGAGCCTGGCAGACCTGCCTGTCTGCCCGGGACTGTCTGCACTGCTTTATTTATTTATTGGATTTTATGTATATAATGTTTTCGTATGTAACAGTGGCTGATAAAAGAAGAGATCACAACCTCCTTTCCTGGCACTTGCAATTTCTTCCTGATAATTCCTCCAAGGTTGCAACTTCAGGGAGGAGAAAGAATACTGAAACGTTTTATCCTCCCTCAGTGGAATATGGAATTTCCTGCATTGTTTTCTGGGTGTCCAGGGTCTGGAATAGGCAAAACTCCCATATAGTTCACTAACACATTTTGCACAAATATTTGTGACAGAGTTTTAAAACATCATCTTTTTTTTTTTCTACTTGTCATTGCTCCCTGAAGTGTTTTTCTTGTCCCTCAGCTCTGTTCCTCATTTCAAATATTACTGATCTCCTACCTGTCTTGTCCTTCCCCTTGTTTTCAAACAGGCTCAGATACTTGGCAGTATTTTCCAAAGCAAGCAGCCAGTTACCATGTGCATGAATCTTTATTTACATGCACTATTTGGGAGTCAGTGCTGCCTAACTTTTAGGTAGGATTCTCCTCCTCCCTGCCAGTCTCTTAGGAGGTGCTGCAGAAGGATCACTCAGCCTTATTGCTGAGTAACAGAGGCACCCAAGTGCAACTGGCACTTCAGTCCAACGGAGAAGCCCCTCCTGGGGTGACACTGCTGGATGTGTCACGTTAGTTTGTCTCAGAAAGTGGCTGTGTAGCTGTAAAGAGGTGAAATGGAGCTTATTTGGTCTGTCGGTGGTAGCTTGGTTTTATAGCCCTGCCTAGAAAGAAAGTTAGGTGTAACAGAATTGTCTGTGGCTCTGGCAGGTTTGTGCCCTTCCTAAACCTCCAGTTCCCTGCTCTTACTTGTTGCTGTAGTGTCTCTGTCTCTGGTCCTTTGCAGTTCCACACCTGGCAGGCACTGAAGCCTGGGCAGCAAAGTGGGTAACCTGGTTCTGTTCCTGGCATTGTTTTACCTGGGTGGGGAAAGAAACATCAAGTCACTTCCCTCTGCTTCCTTTCCTCCTTCCTTGTGATGCACAGAGTAATAATTACTTCCTTATACCAAGTCTGGGAATGAAATACCTGTATGTAAAGATTTCTTTATTAAAGAATTTGTAGTCTTGAAAACAAAATACTTCAAAACACACAAAACCCACTCTTTGTAAAACCTTGTTTAAGCAAAAGGACACAGGGAGGGATCAGCATTCTGTATCTCTCTGGATCTTGGTAGATCTCAGAAACGTGGACACGGGCTGTGGGCTGGCAGAAGTGACAGGCAAAAGCATAAATACTAACTTCACTTACATTGCTGAAGTGGCTCGTGCCTGTGGACGTGACTCCTAAACAGGAATCAGAAGCCTTGCCAAAATTAGGGGTGTCTCAATGCAATATTCAGTCAGTCCTTTCATGCTTTAATAGCAACATTGCAAAATCTCCTCTGGTCTCTCCTGGATTCCTCCAGGTTGCAGAGATCAGCCGGCTGTGGGACAGAGGACCTGTGCTGTGTTCTGCACTTCCTTAAGGCAGGCTCAGTAAAGCTCTGGGCTGGGCTCCCTGTTTCCAGGCAGCAGCAGTTCACAGCCCTCTGTCCTCATCTCTTACCTTGCTCTCAAGGCCGTGTTACAGTCACATATAGGGAGATAACTGCCAGTTCACTTGGCAGATTCACGTTGGCATGCAAGGTCCATAGTGTTCCAATGAGAAAGGAGGTACGAAGCTGGAATACCAACACCTCTGATCAGAAGAAACAAGTAAGACAGATGAAGTTTCCATGCAAATAATGCAATAAGTTACCCACTTGACAGAAGTACTGAGGGCAAGATGCTGATATTGATACCTCCCACATCCTCTTTAGAGGGAAGTTTTTTTAACACCTACAATACTTAATTAACTATTTTAAAAGTACCTCTGGGTACTTTTGGGTTTTGTGTGTTGAGGGGGTGGTGGTTGTGGGTTGTTTGTGAGGGGGAGTTGGTGGAAGTTTGCCTTCACAGAGATAGCCACTGCCTTCTCCTTATGGAGGAACAGAAATTGTAGTTGTTTCAGACCTTGAGTGACAGCCCTCCCAGGGGCAGGAACAGGCACTCTGGGATGAGGGCTTTGCCATGACAGAACATAGCTTCTGCTTTATGGCATGGGCCTGGGGCAGAAAAATGCCATGAGATGGAAAGATTTTATCGATGCTGGTTGGAAATAACCTGTATGACTACCTATGATTTTATTACTTGTGGGTAATATGGAAAGCCTGGTCTCCTGCCAGGAAAACTTGCATGGCACCACACAGTGTCTTTTCCTCCCAAAGCCTCATTTCTAGAGAAGTAGTATTTGATGCTGTCCTGTGACTCAGCTGGATGGGTCTGAGATTCTTCTAGAAAAGGCAGTGGGGCCTGAGGTCTGTCCTCTGCCCGTTACCCCTTCTTAGAAGTGTAATTCATGAAGTCTTACTCCTGCTGGGTTCTGGTGCTCTGGGTTATTAAAACACATCCCTTTTCTTAGAAGAGCTGTGATATGAACACAGCTGATCTCTGCGGGCTCACCCTGTCTCTCATGCTAAGGTACCAACTGAGCAGAGAAAACAAACTAAGAAGTTTTTAATGTGTCCTTATGGAAACACAAATGGATTTTTTCCCCTTGTTTTAATTTTGTGCTGATCCAGAGAGACAGTATATGATAGTCTAACAGAAAAAAATAATCAGCAATTTTACTGCAATTTTAATTTTAAATTTTAAAAATTTTCATTTTACTTTTAAGTAAAGTGAGTTAATCTGATCTGCCTCAGACAGTAAACTGCTTTCTGCTCTATTAGTATGGATTAAATACAAACTAATGCCATTAAATGTGTCAGAGTGGAGCAGAGGAGAAAAACTGTAATTTTCAGCTTTGTTATCAGTCCTCCTGACTTGCCTAAATTTTACTGCCTTCTGATCATGTAAATGTGTGATTGTCTGTACCAAATGTGTGGTACTCTGTACCACAAAATACTATTGGGACACAACTCAGCAGCTGTGAGTTTGAAAACAGGAGAAGCACTTTTGGGTTTGCTGAGTTTTCCTAATGTGTAGCAGGTTTGCGGTATGTCTGAGGTGCAGAGTGAT